CATACCGTGAGATCTTTCATGACAGTTCAACCTTTTCAGATCTCTAGCAATAAACGTACAGTATCTGCATCTGTAGTTCTCTGCCTGTCTTTCACTCATCGGTACATATATCCTCCTCCGTATTCCATTCTCATCTATAGTATAAGCTGTAGTTGCCTCGTCTGTACCTCCGGAACCTTCCATCTCATCATCAACATCATCATCAATTTCATCTTTCACCCTGATAGATCCAAAGTCAGAACCTTCTGAGTTTGGACTGTGTCCACTTTCTGGCGTTCTTGCTCTTTTCTTTGAGGTGGGGGATGGGGTGCCTCTAGGACTGGTGGTGGAGACCAAGATCTCAGCCAAGCTGGAGGACTTGTAGTCACTGCCCTGCTCATGTCTGCTGAGGATCTGGTCAACCACAGAAGTATGAGCAGAACCGTCAGATGTGAACACCGGTGCTGGGGTTAAAGTAGGTGGAAGCATCTCCCTCAGATGTTTCATCTGTTCATAATTGTTGACTTTGCGATCATTACAAATTAACTGTTTGGCAACTGAAACCATTTTGGCCTTACCAGGATGGACAGTGGAGATGTGATTTAAAATGGCTTTCCTTTCTGTAGCTTTGGATGGACAATGTGGGCAGTTGATACTGTGAATGACATTCTCCTCCACGTGGGTTTGAAGCATGTTCAAATCAGGGAATATCTCACCACATGAATAGCACAGGGGTTCTAAAATTTCAGAGTGGGCTACCTTAATGTGGTTAATGTAGTCTGTCAACATGTTGGTGCCAAATCTGCAGCTGTCGTTGCCACAGACATACAAAGGGGATGTCTTATTGTGGGTGTGGGTGTGATTAGAGATGTGCCGGACCAGATCGTTTTCATTAGGGCTTCGATGGCCGCAATAATAACAAGGGAAATAAGCCTCCGATGAATGAAAATTAACAGTGTGTTCTTTAAAGTCAGTGGTGATCATGCTGGTGAACAAACAGTTGAATCCGCAGATGAAAAAATTAGAATTTTTAGCCTGGAGATTTGCAGCTTGCGGCTGCTGTGAGCAGAGCTGGGAGCCGGAGTGGGATGGAGCTGGGAGCAAGGGGGGCGGGGGAAGCATCAGGGTGGAGGTGCTGGGATCTGATTTGTACAGAGGCTGCTCAGGGCCCAGGAATGACAACACCTCCGGCTCTTTCTCAGCCTCTTTAGAAGGCTCTATGAAAAAATTTGGTTCCACACTCTCGTTATTCTCTGCTTTGTCTGTTGCAGGGACTTCATTCAAAGAATATGATGCCACAATCTTCAAACCTGAATCATCTACGCTTGCCTTTGTATCCTTAGATGCATCTCCCTGATTTTTAATAACAGTAACATCTGGCTCAGCAGTTAACACCTGCCTGAGCTTGGAAAAACCCTGAGTTTTAGGCTGCTTCTCTATAGCCTCAACCTCATTCACCTTTACACCCGCCTCTGGTTTACCTGCCACCTCTGGTTTACCTGCACTGGATTCATCCACTTTATCCACACTCTCCGACTTCTCCTCAACTGTAGCTTTTGCCGGCTCTTCAACAGATCCACCTGCCTCACTGCTCAAAACACCATCCGGTTTTCTTTTTTTATCCGGGTCTTTCTCTAAAGGAACTTTACCGGCTACTTTAGCCATGAAGCTTATAATCCCGGCCGTGGTCACCTCTTTGATCAGAGCTTTAGCTTTTCTCAAAGCTCGGAGTGCACAGCTCATCTTAGCTCCGTTATGTGACTTGTGAACATGTCGGCTTATCTCTTTTCTATTTATAAAACACTCCTTGCAGTAGAGGCATTGATACGGCCGAATCATTAAATGGCACATTAGGTGCTCCTCAAACCCGTGCCCAGTACTGGAGAAATCACACTCTTTACACACCAGACATTTTTTATCCTTATCCATCATGATGGTGATTTTAACCTTCTCCTCCTCCACCTCGCTATCACAGGAATGGTTGTCGATGAGTCTTTTATCCTTCATCACCCGCAAGCACTTGGGGCACTTGTACCTGACCTGTTTCTCAGGGCCGTTGTCAGTGGCATTGTCCTGGCCAGTTTTGGCGTCTGCTGGTTGCTTACTGCCTCCGTTACTGACAAGGGTTTTGTTTACATTTTTGTCATCTGTTGCCATGGTGACAGATGTACCTGCAACTTCTGTTTTATCACAATTTTTTTCTGTATCTGATTTTGGAATGAGAGGCTGTCCAGCAGATGAACCTGATGAAACAGGTTTACTTTTACTGTCTGTAAAATTATCTTCCTTGTTTTCAAGGGAAGTAACTTTTCCCTTAACATTTGTATTATCTTTTGGCTTTACCAAGATTCCAGCTTCAGATGTATTATTTCCCTTGGCAGTACAATTAACATCTAATATGTTGCTGGTGCTAGGGCCAGTATCTCTAGAACCTTCCTGTGTTGCATCCCCAGAACCGTCTGTCTCCATATTTGTCTGACCGGTGCCAGTGTCAGCTGTTTCCGCTACTGTGTGTGGAGCTGTTTCACACACTGCTGTTGGAGCTGTGTCTGTTTCACATCCAGCTTCCATCTTGATTACAGCTCAAGGTTCAACATCCTGAAAAAAACACCAAAAAAACATGTCTCAAGATTTCATTACCAATAATAATTTTAAAAAAAAGGTCTTCACAAGTCTGAAAACTACAAATGAAAGGAAAAGGCCTATAAGATTCTCTGTATTATGTACTGCTTAAATATATTTCATAACTATAGAATTTACCAATAGACTATTAAAATTAGCCAATACGGCTAAAGAAAAGATGACGCCTATTTCTCTTTAGAACTTCATTTCTCTAGTCTCGAGGTTGACTAATTAGAAAGCAGACGGGTGATGAGGCGGAATGAAAAACACGACCGACCGCCGCATCTGGCCTGTAGAACGTGTGCAGTGGACAGGTACACTGCTCGGCGTGGAGCGATCGAGGTCTGGCTGGCACATATTGGGCCGCTTTATGGGAGAGTGGGGGATGAGGCGGAGGTCACGAGGCAACACTTGCAGAAACCAAGCAGACGCCTGGGAAACATCGGGCTTCAAGGCGAGGCCGAGGACTGGCGAGGGGGGAAGGGGGAGGTGTGGGAATATGCGTTATAGGCCAGTAACAATAGCCCTGAACTATGCGTGTAAACGTTGGAACATGGAGGTTTGGTTCTCTGACAAGGGAATGTAGAATTAAGTATTCAATAAAGTTATGTTGATTTTCACAAAGGTATCGATAAAAATCCCTTCAGCTACAAAACAAAAATATAATCATATAAGTTATTATTAGTCCGCAACAAAAACGACTGTTGTTTTAGGTTTATAGCTACTGTTAATGTGGGCTGGATATCGTTACTGGTTATGCAAAGTCAAAGGATCAAATGGACTACATATCGAGTTTTATGGGAGATAACTCGTGTACCTTATTTAAATATCGATACCGTTCAGCTGTATTTAACACCTATCGATACCAGTTCGGCTGAAGAGCTGACATTTTCTATTTCTGTCAGCTTTATTTGCAGTTCTGCTAACATTTTTTTTTTTTATTTCCCTGTTCGCCATCACATATTGATACGTCCTGGTCCTACTGTTGCCGGAAAGAAAATCGAACTTCCGAATCAATATAATCATAATTCCGAGTACGGTATTCGCTGACTGCTGCTTGAGAACGACATCGTCGTTTCTGACCTCTCATGATTCAGGTTTATACTAGTCTGGGCTGGGAAACTGCTGAATACTTTCTGCCGGATTAGCTCCCTTCTCTGTGTTCTTTTGTTTCTATTTGTGCATTCTACTCTTTCACATGCGTCGGGGAATCTCAAAGCCGACGGGTGGGCGTGATGGGGTGGGCGTGATAGGGGGGGGGGGGGGAGGAGTCGAGGAGGAAAAGTCACGGAAGCTTTGCAAGGTGTAAGTCAATGCGGTATAAATGGGGTGAAAACCAAACGGAAATTTGGAGAAAAATTGATAAAAAAGCACAAACGTGAAAATATATAGGCTACAGCTACATGTAAGTGTACAGTGCTACATGCAAGTGTACAGTACAAAAAAAAAACATCCTTTGTTGTTAGTGGCCCTGTGCAAAGTAGGAATATAGATCTATACATTTATTTTTCCGTCATGCTATGGCGTACATGATTTTTCCATGTTGGGTTTAAAATAATTAACAAAAGTAGTTCTATCGCGTCTTGCCGGCCGTGGTAAGACCGTACTAGAAGATGTTCTATCAATACAATAAAGTAATTATCTAATGACGGTGTTCAACACTATACAGTGTTCTGCACTGAAGCTTCATCAGTTTATCTTCAAAACTAGACAGCACGAACCAGTCGATATTTAAGCTGGTCAACTGAATGAAGTGAATGGGTAGTTTGTAACTCAAAAGGTCAACATTAATCTACATAGCTTCAAGCTGGGCAGCATCGCTACTGACTAGCCAATCTCTAAGCTAGTCCACGCACTAGTGTGTTGTCGGTCTATCTCCGTGCAGGCCAACACATCGCGTGGTCTGCCCCTAGCTTGGTTCGTCCCCGTTTAAGTTAATGACACACACTCCAGACTGCCCCGGGGGGACAAAGGTCGACAAGCCCAGACACGTCACAGGGCTGTGACAGTTTGAGGACCGCTGGAATCAATTTTTTGTTCTGCGGACAGCCAGCAAATAGATCGGGGCAGCAGATCGTAGAGAATGTCTACTGGTGACGTGGGTAGTCGCCGGCAGGTTGGCTAGCGGATGACGTGTCTAACAGTGGTGGTTTACGTGTGGCTAGCAGTAGTGGTTTACGTGTGGCTAGCAGTAGTGGTTTACGTGTGGCTAGCAGTAGTGGTTTACGTGTGGCTAGAAGACGTTCAGTAGTGGGCTACGTCTATCAGTGTTTAATGACGTTTAAGTGCGTCTCCCACAGAACTGTAAAATGGGGTCTTACAACAGCCACAAGTGATGTAAGCTTACACAGACCAAATACGAAGTGTCATTTACTTCCTGACCACACCGCCTTTGAATTACCGTACCCATAATGTAACCAAGTACTACTGTTAGAGTTTCTTTCAGGCACCCCCCCCCCCCCCAAACAAAATAAATTTATAATATAAATTATCTACTTTTACCAGTGCCCCACCCCAAACCCCCCTTTCCCCAAAAAATTTCAAGTGCCCCCCCCCCCCCCAATGGATAAAAAGGTCTGAAAGAAACACTGTACACTGCTATTTCCGTTGACGTAGTAGCCAACTCCCGACACGACGAAGACACCATGTTTTTGTTTACAGCCCGGGCAGCTAAATATTTTATCCCTCACCTTGTGCTCAGCCAACGATCGCCCGCGAGAACCAACACACCGAGTGGCCGGTGAATCAGCCGCAAGTCAGCTGTGTGCCCCTGCGGAGAGTGGTGCGGCCTACACGGAGGGGGCGCCGCGCGGGCAGGATGTAGGGCGCCCGGAGAACTAGGCCTAGTGGAGTTGTGAGCCGGCTCTAGCCGGGATAAGACCCCGCGATGACAGGCAGATAGTGCAAGCGTGTTGGTGAAATCTTCATGCCACATCTAGACTCTACCTGTAGAGGCATGTGTTCGCTCAAGGTTTCCGTTCGCAAGCATGGGAAAAAAAAAAGGTTTAAAGCTGTTGCATTAGTCCACATCTCATCAAAGCTTCAAACTTTACAGCTCGCCAAAACTAGGCTCTTTTTTTTTTATTTCTATAGCTTCTATCCCAACAGGAGCAATGTCCTCGTTGAGCCGGGTCTAACAATGACGTAGCTCGTCAATGTTACAGACTGTTGCACTACCATTCGATACAACCATCATGACATTTACCACCATTTACCACCATTCTATACAGACCATCACATTTACCATCATTCTATTTAACACCATTCGATACAGACCATCACGACATTTACCATTCGATACAGACCATCACGACATTTACCACCATTCTATATAGTCGATCACGACATTTACCACCATTCGATATAGAAGATCACATTTACCAGCGATCATTTAAAGTCTGTCGCTAGACATCACAATATTTACCTCCACTCGACACAGACCACAGCAGCATTTACCACAATTCGACACAGACCATCAGTAAATTTATTACCGCTCAATTTAAGGTCTGCCATATAGACACTCAATTAAGGCTCGTCGTTCAGACCATCACACCATTCGACACAGACCATCATGACATCTGGTGTCAGATGTCATGCCACTCGTGGGATATCCCCTCCCCCCCCCCCCCCCCTCCCCTACCGGCAACACAGAAAACAGCTCCACAAGTGCAGGCCGCCTGCCTGTAAAGTAGGTCATTGCTGCGGTCATCAGTTGACACGCCGATCAAACAGCTGGTGCAGCGTGTCTGGCCGAGAAAATACGGCCGTGTAAGCTGTAGCATAAACCCCAGGGCCACAGTTTATTGCACTACTACATCTACAGTCCACGAGATGCAGGGAGTACAGTACTGGTACAGCTATTGCACACAAAAAAAGCATTTTTAAAAAGTTGTAAGCTGTTGCATTAGTTCATATCTCTGCAAAGCTTCAAACCTCACAGCTCGCCAAAACTTAGCCCTTTAAAATTTTAAAAACTTTACTTTCTATCTAAACAAAACAGGAGCAATATCTCTGCATGTCTAAATATTACGTAATTTCTCATCCAATCCTTATGTGGTTAATGGACAATCACATGATACACACGTTATGACGCACCACCAAAACACAATGTATTCAGAATGACTTCCACATCCAACCACACTTAAACGATACCCAATATACGACAGAATACCCACATCCCACCCTTTCTATACAACACAACACAAACCTTAGGTGTCAGCCATTCTATATCCCACCCCCTATATACGGCAAACCCCCAGCCTTAGGTGTCAAGCCTTCCTTCCGCCGCCCACCCCACCCTCCCACTGAAGTAAAGCACTCACGCTGATGACAACTTGGAATACACACCATGACACGTTCAATACTCACTCTCTCCTCGTGTTGCCGGGTCAGCCAACGATCCATGCCGGCCACCCCTGGAAACACGTCTCACGTGAACGAGCATGTCAGTCATGCATGTTAATTGGTTCTAAGAAAGCCGTGGGACACGTAGACTACAGCCGGTGCTGTAGTACTGGTGGCTTTTGTGAGAAATGCCATGTTACATGTGTCGCCTTCTTAATGTATGTAGGTCAGTCTTAATGTCTATATGTCAATCTTTTTGTCCTTAGGTCTATCTTAATTTATGTAGTCAATTTTAAAGTCTATATGTCAACCTTGATGTCTATGTGTCATCTTAATGTCTATATGTCAACCTTGATGTCTATGTGTCATCAATAATGTCTATATGTCAACCTTAATGTCTATGTGTCATCAATAATGTCTATATGTCAACCTTGATGTCTATGTGTCAACCTTGATGTCTATGTGTCATCTTAATGTCTATATGTCAACCTTGATCTCTATATGTCAACCTTGATGTCTATGTGTCATCTTAATGTCTATATGTCAACCTTGATGTCTATATGTCAACCTTGATGTCTATATCTCAACCTTGATGTCTATGTGTCATCTTAATGTCTATGTGTCATCTTAATGTCTATATGTCAACCTTGATCTCTATATGTCAATCTTAATGTTTATATGTTAATCTTAATGCCTATAGATACAAACTGTTTGTATTTCCTTCTTAACGTATTCAAGCCATGTTAATGTTTGTTTGACCTTCTCAAAACTGTAAAGCAAGAATAATGTTTGGATTGTGGGGGCGAGTGCAAATCTATCCCATAATTTGTACCGAGTAATGGAGCTCTTGACCACGTTAGCAAAAAGCTACCATACGAAGACAGCTCTGTTATCTTGAGTCGTGTTGCAATATGCCGTTATCAAACGCAGCTGAATAAACAGACCTCTTACAAAATCTACAAGATGGCTTTTGTACTTTAGGTGGTCATAAAGAAAAAATGGCTTTTGTACCTTATGTGGTTCTGAAGAAAAAAATGGTTTTTGTACTTTGGGTGGTCATAAAGAAAAACATGGATTTTGAACGTAAGGTAGTTCTTAAAGAAAACATGGATTTTGTACTTAAGGTAGTTCTTTAAAAAAATATTGATTTTGTACCTTATGTGGTTCTGAAGAAAAAAAATGTGATTTTTGGACTTTTTGTGGTTCTTGAAGCAAAACATGGCTTATGTCAAATAGTTGTCAACTCTACGCAAATCTGCTATGTCAAAATTGTATTAAAACAGTACAGGACTTAAGAAGTTATGTCCCAAAGTTCGTTCATTAATTAAACTGTCGAAAGTAACGTCAGCCAAATGTCACAGATGAGGTGATGGAACTATGTGTGACCAGATGGTCAAGCTGTATTTTTGGCGGTGCAGTCTGTCATATATGGCTCTGTCCTAATACCTCTGAAGTACCATACACATTTCGTAGTATGTACTTTACTGTGAATGTATCTTTTTGTTTAGTCTAATGTGATACCAAAGGCATTATGAGGGGTTATGAGAAAGAGAGAGAGAGAGGTTGGATTAAGTACAGGAGAAAGAGAGAGTTGGACAGATTACACAAAGATAGGTTTAGGATTAAGTACAGGACGGAGACTTTCTGTGTAAAGAGGGCAAAAATTAAACTGCTGCACATTTCATACATCTGATACAGTGTTCGGCTAATCGGCTACAAAACATACACTTGCTTGCTAGATATATTGAACAACAGTAGTTGAACATCCGGGCAAACTTGTGGGTTAGACGTACCACACCAAGTGTTCCTTTCAGACTATTTCTCAGGAGGGGGGGGGGGGGTCGAACTAAATTTTCCGGGGGCGGACACTTGAAATCTTATAAAAATGCTAGACAATACAGTATCGTATCGGGGGTTTATGCTTTTTACCGGAATCGATGCTATTGACAATATAAGTGTAGCGATACTAGTAGCAGACAGAAGACAAACACGTCTTGTCGACATGTATATGACAGTTGCGCCTACCATGTTTTGCTATTGGGGGGTGGGGGGGGGTGGGGCCTAGCCTATAGGCCTACTGTGGTATGTGATTCCTCAACCTTACTACACTCAAAGAATATAACTTTTTTTAAAATCAAGAAATGTCAGTTTGACACAATCGTCTTTACATTTCCTGGCGATGCGAAAATAAAAATAGTTGCTCATTTAGAATCGAGCTGTTCTACGCGGAGCTGATGGAATTTTCTATCAAGAGGTGACACCAGTTTCTGTGGATCTGTCAACCTGAACAAATATGAACAGCCGTCCTTGAACTTTCGTACACCAGCCCCTAGGCCACCAGCAAGCCAGGAGAGCGCCATTTTGAAAACCCAGTCTGTGCAGGCTGAGCCGATACACTCCGCGTGTAGCCTATAGAGCCAGCAGACAGCATAATCAATGAAACCTGTTCGGCCGCCCGGCAACGCACTGGGAGAACCTTGCCAGATCCCCAGCCCGGCCTACGTGCCGGCTGAAGCCACCACCACCACCACGACACACGGGGCTGATGCTGCTTGCCGTACAACATGGCGGCTGGTGGGGGCAGACCGGTGTAAACCGGTACGGCCAAACAAGCCTACAGAGATCGTGTGTCATCGGGGCGTTGCTTGCCTTGGCGTAACGAATGGCCTATTTGTGGAGCTCTGGCCGAGAGAGAGAGAGAGGGGGGGGGGGAGAGGAGTGGTAGATTTGTAGAGTAACAAATGGAGGATCTTCTTGTATGTCCGCATCGAAGTTTTATTTGCTTCAGTACCGTTAACCTAACCCCAGCTCTCACAATGTAGGCCCTACCTAACCCTAACTTTTACCATCACGATACCGAAAACAAATATTTTTTTTCTCGGATTACTACGCCGTACATTACCTAGTCCTAACAACAGTACAGTACGAGTAAGAGAGAAAAACATTCTCATACCAACTAGACCTACACTGCAGTGCCCCACTGATATTTAAGTACCCAGCCAACAACGCTAAAGACAAAGGCTCTGTACGATAGTAGATTGAACTACCCGCACATATACCACAAGGGAAGTAATTCTCTAAAGCCTTTAACCGGGCTTTAAATGAACGCAAGGCTTCCTGAAGTAGCATAACCAAAACAGATGCTAGGGATAACAAAGTATCTCATAAAACCCCCGACACAGTTGCTGGCCCACAGAGTTGGTGGCCCACATAGATCTCCTGGCTCCACGGACCACTGGGATTTAATAGCATAATGGCCCGTGCGTGCTCGCGAAGACCTAGATCTATTTTTTTTTTTTGCAACACATGCTTATCACAGCATTCAGCTGACTACTTTAATGGTAAAGTTTGTATGTGTATGGTCAACATAAGCTTATTGCATGCATGCGAGGACGTATGCGTGAAGTTTATACCTGTATGCGACATTCTTGAAATATTTATGGTCGTACACAAGAATTACAACAATAGTTCATTGCGTTGTAGCCATCGACCAACACGACACAAGAAGAAAGGCCATTGTACCACACAGGCGGATGACCTTTGTAATGTGCCAGCCCACCTGCATGACCCCAGGGTACATTCCCCGGACCGACAGTGGTGGATGACTGGTGGGTGGCTTGGTGGATGGCTGTGGTGGATGACTGGTGGCTGGCTGTGGTAAATGGCTGCGGTGGATGGCTGTGGTTGTCGTCGTGCCTCAAGAAAACAATTTTATCGTTTCAATCCTACCATAAGATCCCAAAACCACCATTCGTTAGCATATAGATCCATGACTAATAGATTATCATAAGACTGCCAAAAGATCGCAGTACAACCAACCACCTACCACAAGACCCCAGGACTACCAACCACCTATCACTAGACCCCAGGACTACCACAAGACCCCAGAACAACCAACCACCTACCACAAGACCCCGGGACTACCACAAGACCCCAGGACTACCACAAGACCCCAGAACAACCAACCACCTACCACAAGACCCCAGAACAACCAACCACCTACCACAAGACCCCAGAACAACCAACCACCTACCACAAGACCCCAGGACTACCAACACCTACCACAAGACCCCAGAACAACCAACCACCTACCACAAGACCCCAGAACAACCAACCACCTACCACAAGACCCCAGGACTACCAACACCTACCACAAGACCCCAGAACAACCAACCACCTACCACAAGACCCCAGGACTACCAACACCTACCACAAGACCCCAGAACAACCAACCACCTACCACAAGACCCCAGTACAACCTCAAGACCCCAGGACAACACTACCACAAGACCCCAAGTCTACTACCAACACCTACCTTGACACCAACCACTACCAGTACCTTAAGACCAACCACCTACCACAAGACCCCAAGTCTACTACCAACACCTACCTTGACACCAACCACTACCAGTACCTTAAGACCAACCACCTACCACAAGACCCCAGTACTACCAACAACTACCACAAGACCCCAGGACTACCAACTACCACAAGACCCCAGGACTACCAACATCTACCTTGACACCAACCACTACCAGTACCATAAAACACAAAGACTCCGCTATACCTAAACGTGACTTCACACCGCCCTCCATAATTCAACAACGCTCAATTATTCAGCAAATTATCGACGGCTCATTTGACACCGAACGACACGTTTTCCCTTGTTACCTGCTGTATAGAGCCTCAACGTCCACATCTCTTCATTAAACGACAACCTCTCCTATCTTTACCATTTACAAACCTCGATCCAACAAACGACAACCTCTCCTATCTTTACCATTTACAAACCTCGATCTAACAAACGACATCCTCTCCTATCTTTACCATTTGCTAACCACGATCCAACAAACGACAACCTCTCCTAACTTTACCATTTACTAACCTCGATCCAACAAACGACAACCTACCTCTCCTATCTTTACCATTTGCTAACCTCTATCCAACAAACGACAACCTCTCCTATCTTTACCATTTGCTAACCTCGATCCAACAAACGACAACCTCTCCTAACTTTACCATTTACTAACCTCGATCCAACAAACGACAACCTACCTCTCCTATCTTTACCATTTGCTAACCACGATCCAACAAACGACAACCTCTCCTAACTTTACCATTTACTAACCTCGATCCAACAAACGACAACCTACCTCTCCTATCTTTACCATTTGCTAACCACGATCCAACAAACGACAACCTCTCCTATCTTTACCATTTACTAACCACGATCCAACAAACGACAAACCTCTCCTATCTTTGCCATATTCTAACCTCGATCCAACAAACGACAACCTCTCCTTTCTTTACCATTTGCTAACCTCGATCCAACAAACGACATCCTCTCCTATCTTTACCATTTACAAACCTCGATCCAACAAACGACAACCTATCCTATCTTTACCATTTACAAACCTCGATCCAACAAACGACAACCTATCCTATCTTTACCATTCACAAACCTCGATCCAACAAACGACAACCTCTCCTATCTTTACCATTTACTAACCTCGATCCAACAAACGACAACCTCTCCTATCTTTACCATTTGCTAACCTCGATCCAACAAACGATAACCTCTCCTATCTTTACCATTTACAAACCTCGATCCATAAACGACAACCTCTCCTATCTTTACCATTTTCTAACCTCGATCCAACAAACGACAACCTCTCCTATCTTTACCATTTGCTACACTCAATCCAAAAAACGACAACCTCTCATGTCTTTACCATTTGCTAACCTCGATCCAACAAACGACAACCTCTTCTATCTTTACCATTTGTTAACCTCGATCCAACCAACGACAACCTCTCCTATCTTTACCATTTGCTAACCTCGATCCATAAACGACAACCTCTCCTATCTTTACCATTTGCTAACCTCGATCCAACAAACGACAACCTCTCCTATCTTTACCATTTGCTAACATTGATTTGACAAACGACAACCTCTCCTATCTTTACCATTTGCTAACCTCGATCCATAAACGACAACCTCTCCTATCTTTACCATTTGCTAAACTCGATACAACAAACGACAACCTCTCCTATCTTTACCATTTGCTAACCTCTATCCAACAAACGACAACCTCTCCTATCTTTACCATTTGCTAACCTCGATCCAACAAACGACAAGCTCTCAACCCCTTAAAAACCTTGTCTGTGACTTGGGCGCAGACGTTCTGTGTGATTTACGACAACCAACAACACAGACGACACATTCCTACACACCCAGGAGATAGTGAGTCATTCTTCTGACTAGGCAAAATGTCATCGAACCTCATGCCATATACGGAGTTAACTTTCCCACAAGATAAAAAAAAATTATTTAAAGCACCATGGCATGAAGCTTGTAAAGAAATTCAAAATTAAGGACCGAAAAAAGAAAATATGTTGAGAAACGTTTCGCGCGAAAAACAAAGTTGACTGCTTGGTAAAAGAGAGGACGTGTTCATTCCTCAACACCTCACACCCCCAAAGCACGTGTACACACACACACCTCTGACCCCACCCCGATGAAAAAAAGAAAACAAACGTTTCTCCAGTTTCCGCACCCCCCCCCCCCCCCACACCCCCCACCTGGAGAAAAATGTCTGAAAGAAACAGTTTGACGGGCCTTATGGTTGGTTGCCTGAAAATCACGTACCAAACAACGGTGATTCAGAAACGGCTAGATCTACCAGTTTGACGCCAGTAAGTTATCAAACAACTACAATCATATTGTGTGATCTAACGCTTGAGGTGGGCGTGGTTTAGAACACAACTGGATGGGCAGAAGGTAACAAGTGGACCCACTGGAGCTGTATGTATGCCTGGCAACGAACATCCAGTCATTAAAACTAAAACACCCCACGATATTTTCAAACAACGAACATCCGGTCACTAAAACCAAAACACCCCCACGATATTTTCAAACAACGAACATCCAGTCATTAAAACCAAAACACCCCACAATATTTTCAAACAACGAACATCCAGTCATTAAAACTAAAACACCCCACGATATTTTCAAACAACGAACATCCAGTTATTAAAACCAAACCAGCCCACGATATGTTCAAACAACGAACATCCGGTTATTAAAAACAAGAGTGAAAGGGGTGGGGGTCAACCATCAATGACCTCACGCTTTTTTTGACGATTTTTACCTCCCCCTACCCTCCATCACACATTGTCACAAAAAGCCAGACCCCCCCCCCCCCCCTCTAAAATTAGAGTTCACCTACAGAGCAGGTTCAAAAGTTCTGCGGCCTCAAATCAAAGATTTAAAATTCTCCTTTGATGTTAGCCAAAGTTAAGCACTGGGTGAACTTTAACCATCGAATCATTCATCTCAGGAAAACATCTTTTAGAATTATACCTTATTTCTTCCATTGACATGGTCTCGAGCTTATTTTATTACTAGGCGCCAGTGATCACAACTTGTAAAGTAGCATGTCTGCATTAGCCACAGACTTCGTACACAAGTCTGCATTAGCCACAGACTTCGTATACAAGTCTGCATTAGCCACAGACCTCGTACACATACAAGTCTGCATTAGCCATAGACTTCGTACACAAGTCTGCATTAGCCATAGACCTCGTACACATACAAGTCTGCATTAGCCATAGACTTCGTACACAAGTCTGCATTAGCCACAGACCTCGTACACATACAAGTCTGCATTAGCCACAGACTTCGTATACAAGTCTGCATTAGCCATAGACTTCGTACACAAGTCTGCATTAGCCACAGACCTCGTACACATACAAGTCTGCATTAGCCATAGACCTCGTACACATACAAGTCTGCATTAGCCATAGACCTCGTACACATACAAGTCTGCATTAGCCATAGACCTCGTACACATACAAGTCTGCATTAGCCATAGACCTCGTACACATACAAGTCTGCATTAGCCATAGACCTCGTACACATACAAGTCTGCATTAGCCATAGACCTCGTACACATACAAGTCTGCATTAGCCATAGACCTCGTACACAAACAAGTCTGCATTAGCCTCCCAACATCATGGCGCCATTCCCTCCCTCTCTCTCTCTCGGCAGGTAAATCCCTCCCCCTCCCTCCCACTCCTGTGATCTTTTGGCAGACAGACGACTCAGGCATCCAGCAGCTTTCATGTGCCACTCGGCAAAAATCGAATCTCAAGATGGCTGAGGCAGCTATAGCTACCCTTGCCAGCCAGTGCCACAAATCAATAGACCCAGCCTTTTATTGCCAGATTTTTTCCCCCTCGCATCGCTGCCAGTTTATCTTTCAGATCTAGGGTTGCTTTGTCGGGACACCTGAGATTCAAGGAACCTTACCTTAGATCTCTGGAGACTAACCACTTACGTACGGTTATTTGTGATAGAACTCCTAAGTATTAAGTCTCGAGTTCAAATCCCGAACTTGAGCCCGTAGGATGCCCCCTCCACCGAGTCGAAGCTCTGATGGGTACCTAAATGACGTTAGAGAAAGTAAAAGCAGCTAGGCATAGCACTAGCCACACTATCCATGTATATGCATTAGTCACAAATACAGATGAGCTATACTGCAAGAGTCATTTGAAACATTTTAAACTTATATGAAAAGACCAATGAAAAGGTCAATCACGGAATCTTAGATCAGGGCCAAACGACAACAAATGTGACTATAGTCTGGACCATTATGGCACTGACAGTGACAGACAACATTCCAACTGAACACATGGTAGCCATTTAGTTCTAAATAGATCACAAGACATTTTGCTCGTAAGCCAACCGTGCTCTAGAGGTGTCAAATAACGCCACAATAACGTTCTCTTCTAAAATAAATAGGTGTTAGGTTACTGGTAGTTAACTAAATACAAACATGACTTTCAAGACTAACCCCTTCCCTAACGGTACTCAAATCCCTTCAAGAAACTTCATTTCTGTAAAAAAAACACAGAACCTGAGATTGCAATACTTCTACTAAAAAAATAAAAATAGAAGCTGCTGTTCGCTGACGAAGACATTGGGTCGAAACCTGTAATTGTCTTTATTTTGTGCTGATACAGACGCTACCTGCTTCATTACTAAAACTACTTGTAAAAAACTTCCAACCTGTTTTGGCACAGGCTACTATCGGACATCGCCAATATTCCACCAGCTAATATCATAGCAGCCGACAAATAAACAAATACACCTAAAGTCTGCCCATAGGCGACTTCCACGTTGAACACAATATAGTCCTACAAAATAGCCAATAAATCACGTGATAACCATACATGCAGACAGCTAATAGATCAAACTACTACCACATCAATCAGCAGACTATAAAACCACCCATCTCACACACACACACAAACAAAAGGTCTATAGACTCGACACTGTGGAGCAAATATTTGTAACATCTTTAATTTAAACATAGTGTAGTCTTTATTTTATAATTAGTTTGATTACACGAACAACTGTTCAGCCGATCAAATAATTTTTAGTCTTAAATTTAAACATTCGTGTAATCTTTGTGTTTGGTTTGATTACACTAACCAACTCAAAAAATAACATTTTTTTAA